ACTGTTCAGGCGACCGGTCGCACATGAATCTGTCCAAAAACGACCGGTCGTCACTGTTCAGGCGACCGGTCGCACATGAATCTGTTCACTGTTCACGGCACTGTTCACAGGTGATAAATAGGTGATAAAAGGGTGATAGAAAGTGCTGTTTCTGTTTTTCCTTGGTTTCTTGTGTTGTTTCATTTCTTTTACACTTCTTTACTTATTTTTAGTTTCCATTTTGCATTTGTGCATTTGTGGTGTGTTAAATAAGTATTCTTTACATACTCAAATTAGAACTTATAGGAAGCCGACAAGTTCTTCGTGGGATCGACCCCGTACTTACAGAATCTATACTCCATTAGATTCGTGCACTTGCGGGTATTTTTAATTGGTTGTTTGCACATTAATTTGTGTCCTTTTAGGAATGCAACAAGTTGTCGAATCCACGAGAGTTCCATAACGGTGACAGCCAATTGATGATATTCGGATTCAATACTACAATGAGAGATGGTGGGCTGCTTCTTGGAGCTTCGTGAGACAAGGTTTGAGCCAAAGAAAATACAATATCCCCCTATAGAACGAAAATCATCAGGATTACCAGCATAGTCGGCGTTAGAGAAAGCAATCATGGAAGAGTCACCAGGGCGAAAAACAAGGCCATCATGAGAAGTGCCAAGAACATAACGGATAATGCGCTTGATGGCTTTCCAATGAATACTAGTAGGTTGATGCATGAATTGACAAACTTGGTTGATGACAAAAATAGATGTCTGAACAGGTGAGGGTCAGATATGAAGCGCCAACAAGACTGCGATACTTTGTGGGATCAGAGAGAGAGGAGCCATGAAGAGAGCTAAGTTGGGAGCCAGTGGCAACTAGAGTGAGACAAGGATTAGCCTCATGTAAGGTGGCCTTTCTGAGAAGATCAGCTCCATATTTGGCTTGAGTCAAACACAACATATCCAAAATAAGCTTTACCTCAATGCCCAAAAAATAATGGAGATCCCCCAAATCTTTCATAGCAAACTGACGATTAAGAGACTTAAGAAAAGCTTGAACATGTGACAAAGAATTACCAATAACAATAATATCATCTACGTAAATCAAAAGGAGGATAAAGTTGCCATCTTTATGAAAAATGAATAAGGAGAGATATGCCTTTGAAGTCGTGAAGCCCGAGTGAATAAGAAACGCATAGAAGGGGGAGAACCAAGCATGGGGAGACTTCCGAAGGTGACAAACATGATGAGGAAATTTAGGGTCTTCAAAGCCACAAGGATGACGCATGTAAACCTCTTCAGACAAATACGAAGAAAAGCATTAGTGACATCAAGCTGGCGAATGGGTCGTTACTGAGAAAAAGCAAGAGAAAGAATAATGCGAATAGTAACATGCTTAACAAGAAGACTGAAAGTTTCCAAGTAGTCAATGCCATATTGTTGATGAATGCCATATTGTTGATGAAAACCATTGGCCACAAGATGGGCCTTATACCATTCAATGGAACCATCTGAGCGGTGTTTGATACAATACAACCACTTGCAAGGCAAGGCATGGCATTGAGGGGAGGGAGGAACAAAATCCCAAGTATGATTGTGGTATCTCGCTTGGACCTCTGTGAGCATAGCTTGGTGCCATTGATTCAATTTGTTTGCTTCTCGGAACGAGGCAGGTTCGATCTCAAATACCTTCAAAAAAACAAGATTTGCATATTTGGGATTTGGTTTCCGAATCCCATCTCTCAAACGAGTGACCATGGTAGAAGTATGGGGAGGGGAGGGGAGGGGGGCGAGGATGACTCAACTAGAGAAGCGGGGACATCAACATAAGTGACTATGGGTGAAGGAAGAGGAATGGGAGGGGGCGACACAACGAGGGAGGAAGACACGACTAAAGTTGGAGGGGGAGGCACCGAGGATGGAGGAGCTGGGAATTGCGAGAGAGAACCTTAAAGGGAAAAGTAGATTCATAAAAAACAACATGACGAGAGAGATAAACATGACCATTAGAAGGATCATCACAATGATAACCTTGGCGACTGAGAGAATAACCTATGATGAAAACACGCTGTTTAGAACGAAATTGAAGTTTATGTTTATTGTAAAGACAGAGGTAAGGATAATAGGCAAATCCAAAAACACGAAAAATAAAATAGTCAGGACGACAACCGAACAAAGATTCATATGGAGAAAAATAATTTAATTGACGGGCCGGCAAATGGTTGATTAAATAAGTAGAAGTATTACAAGCTTCAACCTGAAAATAAATAGGCATGTGGGAGGTGGCGAGGAAAGTAAAAGCCATGTCTATGAGGTGACATTGTTTACATTCGGCGGCTCCATTTTGTTCGGGGGTGTGAGGATTAGAAACATGGAGAAAAATACCACGAGTACTTAAGTACTGCTGGAATTGGTGACTAAGGAATTCAGCAGCCCATGTATAACGAGAGTAATCATCAACAAATAAGATAAAATACTTAGAACCTTTATTAGACAAAACGAGAGATGTCCAAATATCACAATGAACAAGTTGTAACAGAACTATGGAGACAGAAGAAGATAACTAAAAAAACAAACGACTAATTTTTCCTAGAGGACAATGAGAACAAAAGGAACTACTAGGAGAATCACGAAGGGGAAGGTGAGCGGAAATCTTCTGAAAGATAGCAGGAAAGGGATGCCCTAAGTGTTGATGCCACAAGGGAAAGGAAGTACGGATACCAAGGACGGCCACGTCGGTGGTAGGAAAGGAGGAGGAGGAGGATGAAGGAGACCGTAACAAATAGATAACATTTTAACTCTTGCAATTGTCTTGCAATGGAAAAGTGTCTTCCCACAGACGAGATCCTTCACATAGAAATCAAAGGGGGTGAAAATAAAATAGACAGAATTATCAAGAGCAAATTGATGTACACTAAGCAAATTATGAGACGCTAAAGGACAATGAAGAACTTTATTTAAATGGAATTGAGAGATGGAACCAGAACCAAAATTAGATATATGCAAACCTTTGACTATTACTCACTAAAACTTGATCCGAACCACCATAATTCTGAGAGAGCTAGAGATGAGCAAGATCATTTGTTATGTGAGCGGAGGCACCACTATCAGTGAACCAGGTGGATGACTAAGCAGGAGTATGAGAGGCAACCATCACTTGGGGAGCAATAGAAGGGCGGGGGCAACGACGAGCCATATGACCATATTCACCACGA